CCTCATCTTCTGGACAAGAATGCCAAGTCAGCCTCTCCTCATAAAAGGCGATGACAATCTGAGGACACTTCATATTTGCCTCCTTTGCCAGCACCAAGTCTGCCTCATCTGAGTCCTTCCATTTCATGAGAAACATTAACTCACCACTGCTGTCTGTGGCACCGATTATTTGTTCAGGATCCAGACCTCTGGCAAAACCCCTGGGTTTGTCAGCAGCATCTCTTTTCTTCTTCGATTTGCTATCCTCAGATTCACTGTCAGATAAAGATTTCCTTTTTGTACCATCTTTTTCTTTACCACCTTTTTGAGAATTAAGAAATGCTTCAATTAATTCTGGACAATCTAAATTTTATTCTGGACAATCTAAATTTTATTCTGGTTCCCAAGTATTATCAGCATCTGTGAACCCTTTCCACTTGAGGAAATACTCCACCTTCCCATTCACTACACGCCGGTCCAGTACTTTTTCTACCACAAATTCTTCAGGCTCTGCCTCTTCAACTTTTTTACACTTTCCATTCTGTTTCTTTCCCATTTTTTGCAATGTAGTTTTATTGGAGGCCATTTTTTTTTTTTTTTTAAATCGAAGACTTGAAGAATTCACCGCTCCGCTGCTCCGGGCGGCGCGGGTCCTTGCAAAGTCTCCAGCTGCGAGCCTCAGCTCAGCCACATCCAAGGGGAGGGGGCGTGCGGGCAGCTCGGCCAGGCTGGACTGAACTTCTGAACTGTACATGAGCTACCACAAGTAAATTCTTTCCTTTGTAAGAGTTGCCAAGGTCATAGTGACCATTCACAGCAATAGAAACCCTAACTAAGATAGATGGTCAGGGCCCCGATGTTTTTAAAATCTATGCAGTTTCCAAACTACTCCACCAGAAAACAGTCAACAGTTTTACAGGGTGCAGAGACCAGGCAATGGTTAACATAAAGGACCATGAGCTAAATTTTTCCAGTGAAAGAATTATTCTCATACTTGAAGCGTGTGTTGTTGCTTATCTCATCTTCTTCTGCCAACTTACCAAGATATGCTGGTAAAAGGTAAATTTGATTGCATAGAAATCATCTGACAATAAAGCTTCCCAATGTGAAAGAGCTACTTAGCATCCAAAGCCGCTCAGAGATCCGTCCTGTCCATCAGCAGAAGTGCATAACTCACAGAGGTGTGTTTACAGCAGGAGCTCAGTAATGCCTTCAGGCTTCTGTGGAAGTTTCAGGCACAGCTCATCTGTACTAAAAGGAAGGGCTCTTCTCTCTGACAAGCTGTAGAGTCCAGGCTAAAGAGGATTCTCATTTCTCTACTGCCCCCTGGTGTTCAGAGTGGGTACTGGAGGAATCATCACTGATGATGATTTATTGGTTTAAAGCAGCAAATGAAAGGACTTGGTACCAGTTTTCCCGGTCAGAGAGTAGTTGCACACTCCTTTAGTATCAGGCCCCTAGGCAGAAGGACTGTGTTTGGTTTCAGGTCATGCTGGTTTTGAAGTTAATTTTAGGACAGTTTTTCCAGCATATTGAGACCCTGTCTCAAAATCAATCAATCAACCAATCAATATATGAATAAATAATAAACAGTATATAGGTTGATAGAAAGATGAACAAAGCAGTAACATATGGCATAGCTCTCTGCACCTATGCTTGGTGCTGTGCTCACTTGGGGTGGGTACAGAGGGAGCACAGGCTGTGGTGGAAGGACTTGAACTCTAACCCCACAGTAGCTTGGAGCTGTAAAACAGTGCACACCTGATCCTGTCCTTACTGATCCTGTCCTTCCTGACCCCATCCTTCCAGAATACTCTTCCCACACCTGGACATATGCTTTTTTCAGGGCAGGGATCAGAAATGTGAATTCTGCCATGGTCTCTTAGAACTCTAGCTGGAGGGTCAGGGGGTCTGCAGTGCCTCATGGCCTCCTCCATCAGCAGCAGGTCACCAAACTCAGAGATGACCTTGAAGACCTGAGGCCATTCAAGGTGAGGGAATAAAATCAGGTCCCAGACCTAACTTTTGGTATTCCTGTATCTAAAAAGTTAATTCTTCCCTCCCACATTTATTAATTCATCCCATGATTCTCATATCCATCTCAAGAGATTTCACACTTAGTGTAGCTGATTTTGATTCCAAATATTGTTTTCAAGACTTTAATGTCAAAAGGTCATGGAGATGAGGTAATTGGTTCAGAGTAGTAAGGCCTCTTTACTCCATATGCATCGGTCCCCTTTCCTCACAAAACCATTATTCAACAAAAGACAGAATCCTCTCTTCTCTCTTGCCTCCCAGGCAGTAACCAGTGTGTCTGAGTCAGTCTGCTCATATCCAGACAGCAACTGTATAGGAATTATGCAGGGAGGAACTGGCTCATTCTTCCAGTAAGGGAGAATACGTTTTCCAACATTCCCTGTGAGTGTGTACTCCCAACAAATCTCATAGTGTACACTACGAGTATTGTGACCAGTATGAAACTCTTCCTAATAACCCATGCTGAAAAATATGAAAGAGAAGAGCCATCCCACCTCCTCACATGATTCTAAACACAATGTGGACCATGAGGTACAATTTTGTTGGCCAAAGAGAACACTCAACCTCTGTGAGGCAGACGTGTATGGATGTGTCCAATGAAATCCTCAGCAGTTTCCTGGAACATTGCACTTCCCCAGGCACCTCTATGGTCCTTCTCACACTGCAGGCAGAGCCAGGAGCTCACAAGATGAACAGAGAGTCAGCAGGTCAGGACAGGGTGAGAGGACACTCACTGCATAGACAATCTCAGGGAAGATGGAAATGAAAATGGGCATTAGAGATGGACCACACTGGTGGAAGCCCATGAACTGTGGACTGTGGCTGTGGAGCCCCCACGGGACTGGACTAGGGCCTCTGGACATGGAAGATGGTTGTTTAGCTTGAACTGTTTTGGGGGCACCCTGGCAGGGTATTCCGGATCTGTCCCTGGTGCATGGGCAGGCTTCTGGGAATCCGGTGCCTGTGGTGTGACACCTTTCACAACCATGGTGCAGTGGGAGGGAGATTGGATCTGCCTGGGCTCAGTGGGCTGGACTCTGCTGACTCCCCATGGGAGACCTCAATTTGGGGGATGTGGAGATGGGTGGCTTGGGAGGGAGGGCTGAGGGGTGGGAGGAGGGGGGAGTCTGTGGATGATGTGGGGAGTGAGTGGAGAATTTCTTAGTAAATAAAAACAAAATTTAAAAAAAGATTGTAAAAAAAAAGAGAAATAAACAAGAGTAGCTTGGAGGATTCATGAACACAGTAAGGGTCACCTGAAAAGGAAAAAGCAGCTCAAACCAGGTTCTGTCTTCTAATCCTCCCACTCCACATACCACGTGGGGTACCCACAGATGCCTCTTTCAATCCTGATCACTCAAGGGAGACTCTACCTCCAGCCAAGGTGGATTTTATTTACTGGATGGTGCACAACGCCAGTGGGGACATTAGTTTTGTTCTCTCCTAGATGTTATATCAACTATTTGTGCCGAAAGAGCATAGCTTTTGTGGGTTTCTTTTTTTTTTCTGAGTTTCAGTGTATTTCATTTTTTTCATGAGGCAGGAAATTTTGCAGAATCATTAAACAAATGAACAAAATATAAACAAATAAATCTGACACTGAGGTGTCATATTTCTGAGAGAAAAAAAGAAAATGGGCATCAGAATCTCCCTGCTCTACCTTATATCACAGTGGAAGAATCCATGAGATAGGTCAAGCACCCTTGTGGCTCAGGCAAATAGTTCCATTTCCATGATAGTATATACAGACCTTTACAGTTTCTAAGTTATGGTCCTTTTAAAAACCTCAGCACCAGAAAGAAGTTAGTTGGCTGCCACGAAATATAGCCTGGGATAATAGTCAATGTAAAGGGATAAGATAAAACTGTTTTGAGTGACAAAAACATCCTCACACTTGAGATGGACATAGTTACAATGTCTCATGCCTTTGCTCAAAATAACAAAAGTATGGAGATAAAAGAATGGATTTGATTATATATGCTCCATTTAATAGTGAAGCTCTTTAAAAATAATACACTTATTGAAATTCTAAATTCCCCTAAGCACACAGGGGTGGTTGCAGGAGGAGCTCAATAATGCCTTCAGACTGCAGTGGAAGCATCAGGCAGCCATTCTCCTGCACTCAGAGGAATTGCTCTTCCCTCTCCCAGGACCTAAGTCAGGCTGTACTGTATCCTGTCTACCCCATGTTGTCCAGGGCAGAGCATGCAAGAATCACCATTTTCGTCTAATGGTCCTAACAAACCTAGGCTGTACAATTTCTGATTTGAGTGAAGTTCATGGTGGACATATTCTCTGTCACAGACTGGAACATGCCTTGGATACTATGTATTCCTTAGGTAGCCCTGGAGTCCTTCTGTCTCAAGGTTCAGGGAGGTGTCCAGTAAAGACCTTCTTGCCCTTCTGGGTTTATTATCTTTTCAAGCTCCCACCTCCATGGCACTTCACCTCATAGAGCATCTTGTTTTGATACTGTAGAATTAGGCAGATCTAAGCTTCAAATCAGTGTGGTGTTTCTGAGATGTCTTCCCCTCTCTGGTCCACATGGCTGAACATCTTTTGTGTCAACTGATGTGGATGAGGCCAGAGCAGCAGCATATACAGGCATCAGAGGCTTTTGCCTATATCATCTCAAGGTCAAAAGCTCACTCCCTGTCCTCAGTGACTTTGCTGCCTACATGAGATGCCTTGCTGGTAGGCATTTCTAACCATGAAGCTCACTAATTCACCACTGATGCCTAACATTGTTACAGCAACAGACAAAACATGGTAAAGTGGTCCTACTTGGAGTCTGGCACAACCATGATGTTTGATCCTCCAAGAGCAGCTTTCCTTGAAATGGCATTTAGTGGAATAATGTTCTTTCAGTCTGAGGGTGGATGAGCCCAGCCCATGAAGGGGTTAGATTATAACCAATATGTGAAAACCAAATATATGTACACACACATTTATCCTCTTTATGCTTTTGTTTATTTCTATGGAGCACATCTGGCATTCTTTTCTATTTCTTGAGTGACCAATGAGTTTATCATGGTGTGGTGTCTGGGTGAGAGGTTGTTCACAGGAGAATGAATAACCCAAAGATCAGCCCAGTCTGAGTGATGACTCAAGAGAGCCGCATCCCTAGACATCTATGCGTGATTTTTACACAGCTCAACAGATTCAAGAGTCTCCTCTCTTTAGCAGTCTACTTCCTTCAGAGTTGGTGTTTGAAAGAATAAATATTTGCATGTTTGCACCACATGCTTAAAGAGGGACACCCAAGAAGAGGATAAGACAAACTCACCATGGGTGTTGTCTTCTCAAGAGAGCCTCCCCTTCAAAGTATCCATACATCTGACTTTGGAGGCTTCTGGAGTTACATGCTGAGAAACCTCTTCTGTGTTGGTGAATGGGATCAAGTATGATTGCAGATGTGCACTGGGTAGAAGTCCACCAGGAATGTGGTGCTGTAAACAAGGTTCACTTTGTGAGGTTCCTAGAGCCTTGTAACTGGCAGAGGAATAAAGCTGAACATGTTTAGGTCTGCAGCACAATGAAAGATATTATAATACTCCTTTTTAAAAACATCATTCTACTAAAGTAATGTTGCCTCAATGTAGATAATCTTCACAGCGAACAATATTGTGTTGGAGTTCTTTTTTCTCTTAAGTTTTCTCTCAGTATATAATAATAATACATAATAATGGTTTTCATGATGATGTT